CAGTTTTCGTAGTTGAGCTTACTTCAATTACAAGTGAAAGTGTCTGGTAAAGAGAATCGAAGGTTGATTCCACCAAAAGACGACAGTGGATTCCACTTGGCCAGTTGTCGATTGGCTTTGCTGAAACATTTATGTTGACTCTGTTTCCAAGGTAATCGCCTTTGATTCCGGTAAAAAGGTGCGAAGCCTTCATCCGTCGTATGATGAACATCGTAAGAGCAAGATATCATCGTTACAACCAAATTCAAGCTAACGAGTCAAGAGGAGGTAGAGTTTCGAGGCTACCAGTTAATCAGTAATATGAGATGTATTTATCCAATTTCGTTTTAAGGTAATGAAGGATGTGGCATAGTGGCCGAGTGGTTAACGTGGCAAGCTCACATGCTGCACTGTCACGGTTCGACTCTCGCTGGGGGTGTTGCTAAGACCGATGCGAGGTCGAAACTACAGTCCACTCTGGATGAGAACACCTTTTGGGAAAGCAAAGCTATGTTAAATTCAATGGTAACGTCAGCTCTACTCATATCATTGTGGGAAAATTCTACTACCAATCCTTCATCACCTTAAGCGAAAGAGGGTGAATACATCTCACATAAATTATTTATGTATGAGTAAGGCTTAAATACTATTTTGAAGAGGCCTGTCTTGCTCCGAAAGTCCTGTAATAAGGTAGCGGTCTAGGTTCTGTAACAGTATGTTGGCATGCCGCTAAGATGCGCATGACGAATTCTGATGATACCTTGGTGAGGTTTTTTGAGCTAACCTCGAATGAAAATCATAGGTATTATCGAAGCTTCATATAATTACGAAGAAAATGCTCTATCTGTTCCCACATCACCTTAAACGTTCTAAAGTGATTAATTTACTAAAGGGAGTAAAGAGTATAATTTGTATTCCTCACGGAATATTAGTTTTTCCATGTCTTGTACCAACATACTCTAAGAAATAGCGTGTATTCAAGCTGCCGTTGGCAAGGCAGCCAAGCCAGATCGCAACTCATTGAGCTATCCTGAATATATTGGATGCGCTATTGTATACTTCGGTTGTCATTGCTCTTAGTATTTCCTATACAGCTTGCTTAATATTAAGAGTAATGGAGCGTTGTGTTATTTGCATGCTGCAAACCCTGTAGCTTCAAGTTCATTAGGGCACTCAATAAATAGATAACATAGATATAACAATAATACATGGATCTAAATAGAGCACTCTTCTCGATCTTTGTAATGTTTTTGGAGATCACTCATTTTTTTAATGTGTCAAATCACATAGGTCTACATTTGAATGAAAGTAAGATCACCCTTCTTTCATTTATTACTCTGTCGTACCTTTCTTTCTCCTCTCTTCTAGTTAAATTCAACCCAAATATTGCCCGCCTAAGGTAAGAAAAAATGGATCGAACTGACTACTAACAGCTTACCAACTGTGGCCCGCATATGTTGGTAGAAGATTCCATTGCAGAATCTGTGCAGAAAGCTTGACTTCCCGACTGCACTATTTCCAATTAGAATAACCTTGAAGATGCGTTCCGGTGGCCTGGGGGTTACTGGCTCTTCGGGACAGACGTCACCGTCCGATTGGACGCTACCGAGGCTCATACTCATGTCATCCAGGCCATCAAAACCGGATTCCGTATCCTGCTGACCAAGGAGGAGGCGTTCTGGTAGTGGTGACCTGTAGCCACCACTCGTGTGACTGCATACCTGGGCGCCAGATGACAAGTCGGTATTGCCGCAGGGTGGACTGCTCAGAGAATGGTTACAGATAGAGCAGTGATGTCTACACGGACTACTGGAAGCTGCGGCAGCAGTGGAAGTAATCTAACAATAGATGGTAAGAACTATAGTAATACTAAGCTTCCAGTTTTTCAGTATCTGCCTTAACAAGTTGTATGCTGACAGGAAGGCAAGTCAATATTCATAGATTCAGATCTAGGAATTCAGTTTGCTGCTTGGTGAGCTGTTAAGACCTCAAAGAGTTCGCCTCCACAATCCACCCAAGATAATAAATCGTAAAGCCTACCCATTTCTATTTAGCAGATTTTATCAGAAGCTATTATCTTAACTTAAACAGCTCAACATGACTCGTGCTCGTTCTTACTACCTAAAGATACTTTTGAAACCTACTCTTTTCGTTTATATATTGCTATTAAGCAATACAAGTATACTTTTAGCAGCTTTGTCACTGCCGCAGTCAGCCTAATTGAGAACAAATGAGTGCAAATAAATGATGTCGAAACTTTGCTAGGATACGTTGATATTAAATCCATGTGAGTTTATTTTGACTAAGTCAATATTGCTGCGCCTACATTTTGAGTGGCAAACACCTAGCTTCAAATACTACTCGTTTGGTGGCAGCCACTGCTTGCAATATCTATCTATATTTGAATTCGTTTCTTATATTAAACCAATCTCACTTATACGTTCCTTGTCTTTAAAAATCTTTTTGATTATGAGTCTAAGCAACTTAGATACCAACAATAAGCGCATATTTCTTGATAAGCCTTGATAAAAACCTTTGAGCCTTACACAAGCAAATGCACCTGAGTTCAGAAAAGGGAATCTGGCTGGCCTGAATCCGAGTTGTAAGGAAAAAATGACTCTCATTGTTCTCAAGATGGGCAACAGAGCAAATAGTTGAAAACTTCGAAGTTATTGCAGGAAAGGAGATGAGTCGTCTGATGGCCACTTTACTCATATCTTAGTTTTTCTACTAAGTTTGAATATGCAATATGCCCTGGGAAATTTTAGTACGCAGAAATAAATGTAGCTACAAGTACATATAAATCACAAGACTGCTTTTAACTGGTGAAGAGAAAAAAAATGTAGGTCTAAAGTAGATTTCGTCTTGAGATTTGTCAGGAGCTGTATTCTTCGCCCTAGTTACTAGGAATTGTCGGCATTCATAGGACTCTACGATATTGATGTGAAGATTTGCATTTCGTATGAAAGTACATGATGAAGAGATTCGAAGGTCAATCTTACCAGAAGACTTCAGGTGATTCTCGTTATACCGTAGCCCTTTGGCATTACTACTACATTTAGGTTGATGCGATCCACGAGACATACTTCGACGTTTCGGGCGAAGACAGTCTGAGCTTTCGTTAATCATGTAATAAACATCGTCAGAGTTGGGACTCATTCTTGTAAATGCCTCAAGCTCACACTAAATCAATAAAAATAAAAGCCTTTGTTCTATTTTAAAGAACGTGACTTGCTTCCGTTGCTGTTGTGGAAACTCTTTCAAGTAGATAAAGTTCAGGCTTTGGAACGGCTAGGCTGATAATGAAAATCCAGTTAGTACAATGGCCCGTTGCAAACCCTATCACAAAGAAATATGGATCCCTTGTAGATATTTAAAGATCCTGCTGGCCCATTCAGTCGTCAGAGTAAAAAAAAGCATCGTCATGCGGTACATCACGATCTTCTCTAGTCATAACTGAATGGCAAAACGTGCGAGTAAT